CACTCTAAGCTCTAAACAACCAGCTCTTGCCACACTACAAGCCCTGGTAACTCAGGCTTCATATCACGAAAATTAGCTCCATCCAACCTAGACAACACCTACAGTCTGTAGGTTCAACTCAGGTTTCACCAACTCTGGGCTTCTCTACCACCTCCTTACCTTCTGTTCCCCAAGGGTGGATCTGATGCTTCTGTAGTACCCCATGTCAATCATTTCTATCACTTTCTCCTTTGTTTCAGAATTACAGGTTATTGGGGTGGGAATACAGCTCAGTGGAAGACAGCTTACCAAGCAAGCATAAGGCTCTGCCTGGGTTCAATCATCAACACAGGAATGAGGGAGAAATTACAAATTACTTAGCAATTACTTTCATCCTTACATATTCAGCTCACATATTCAGGCTCAATCACAATGTCAAATGTCAAAGACCAGAGACCACCAGGAAAGCTATCTACCCTGAACACTAGGATTCACATTGTTCCTGTTATAAGTTTGTAGAGCACTGATGGACCTGGCATCCTGATACTGCCTAACTGAGAACAGTGGTGAGTCTGTTGCCTTTTTATCTTAACAGTGTTCTTAATGGAGAAATTTGTGCTTCTCTTATATCTCTTCTAGACTATACACTGACCAAAGTGAAAGATTCCATTAAACTCCTCTAACTAGACCCACAGAGAGAAGCACTCACATGGCCAAAGAATAAATATACACATTCAGTAGTGCCCCACTTTGACATTACTAAGGCATCTGGCGGCAGAATTACAACTCTACCTTAGAGGGATACAACAAATCTTAAACTACTGACTTCATAATGCAATTTGAGATTTGTTATGAAAATCAAGATAAGGGAGCCAGACATGGCTTAGCAGAAAAAAGTACTTACTTTGCAAGCCCCATTACTGCATTCAATTCCCAGAGCCCATGGTAGAAGGAAAGGACTACACACACACACACACACACACACACACACACACACAAACTAAAAATGAAAAAAAGAGAAAATCCAGATAAATTTCCTATGAACAAGGTATCTTTGCTAAGTGATGCTTTATTATTCCCAAATATCCTACCCAAACATTAAAACTAGAAAATATAATTATTTCAACCAGAAAGTATACATTAAAAATTAATACTTGACAGTGGCAAGTAATAAATGATAGAGAGAACAGAATCAATTGTTTAGAAAATACCAAAACATTTTAATTTCTACTTATCAGTTCAGTGTTGTCAGCACAGCAGCAAAGGCAAATAGCTAAAATTCTAGACTAACTGCTGTGGGTGCTACTTTAAGTACTTTATTAACTTTAGCCTCATAACCCAATTTACAATGAGGACACTGAGACAATGATTAAATAAATTGACCAGCGATTTACAGCTATTAAGTGGCCATGCAGGCATTCAAACCCAAGCAATCCAGAGCCATGCAACATCAAATACAATTCCCTTGACAAGATCCCCAAAGTGTCTACCCAAGTGACTGGGATAAGCTATAAATGTATCCTCACTGTCTCACACTGTTCCACAGTAGGTGGCACAAGCCTTTAATCCCAGCATTCAGGAGGCAGAGGCAGTTGGATCTCTGTGAGTTCAAAGCCAGCCTGGTCTACATACACAGCGAGTTCCAGGTCAGCTGGGGCTACAGGGAGGCTCTGTCTCAAAAAGACAAAACAAACAAACAAAAAAATCATTTGTTTTAAAACTATCATTTGTGAATCCTGTAGACTGTTCTCACTTCATGGGGAAACTACTGATTTAAGTGTAAATATTCCAGTTTGGTATTCCAGTTACCGTGGTGTTTGTTAGCAGTACGCTAGTTGGAGTATACCATAATAACAAAGGGAAATTCTAAAACAACTAAAAGCATGTTAAAGACTATTTAAGGGCTAGATGGGTGGCTCAATGGTTAAGAATAGTTGCTGTTCTTGCAGAGGACCCGGGTTTGATTGATTCCCAGTACCTACATTGTGGCTAACAATAACTCCAGTTCTAGGGGATCTGACACCCTCTTCTGGCCTCTTCAGGGCATTACACACACATGGTGCACTTGCATACATGCAAGACACTCATAAAATAAAAATAAATATTGAAAAGAAAAGGAATACTTAAATCTCCCTATAAAAAGAAGTTAAAGTAATAGTCCCATTGTATTGAACACTCACATTTGTTAAAAGGAGTTTGCTAAATTTTATTCTACTCCAAATAACCTAATTCTTCGATACACTGGAGAATGACTGACATCTATTTCTACACCCTCTTGATCCTCCACTATCACTAAGCACACTCTCTTTTACTCTCATCTTTCCCTGGCTGCTCACACCTTGTTCCCTCATTTAAAACAAAGTTGCCCTGTGCTATTCACCTTTCTAAGTTTCATACATTTGCTAACACCAGGTTGAGCCGTGTGATAATACCCTTTTCAACCACTTTTACCTACAAAAGTAGACAACTGATGTGATTGGATTTAGCAACTTCCTCAAAATTCAGCATATTAAAAGAGGAGACATTAACAACTATAGTGATACTCTCCTTGCAGCACACATATTTTTTTTTGAGGGAGGGAGGGAGGGAGGATACAACATGTCAGTGAGTGGAATTCCAGACAAAAAGTGCGATGGAACAGCGCAGCAACATTCCATCTGTACATACAAAGAGCAACGACTAAAACTGGTTTTGATCTGGTTCTGTTTTCCTAACTAAAATGTGGTGTGTCTATGATTTCTTAAAAACTATTTTTAAATAGTCAATCTTTACTTAAGTCTTTACTAGCAAATACTAGCATATAGCTCACGGCAGTGAGCTATATGTGCACAAACAACCGAGGAAGTTAAGCAGCCTGCACCTTTTCTAACTCAACCACTTGAGTTACCTCTGAGAAGATTCTAGCTCTTAGTGTTAGGGATAAAGAACTTCATACATCAGTTAGATTCAGTTTCCCTAGTATTACAAAAACGATTGCCTATGCTAACAAATATGGAAGATGAAAATCCAGAATATTCATCAAAAACAAAGGAGAAGGGTCAGAAAAATGCTCAATAGGTAAAGGCACTTGCCACCAAGTACAGCAACCTGACTTTGACTCTTGGGACCCACATGGCAGAAGGAAAGCATAGACTTCCACAAGCTGTCCTCTGACTTCCACATGTACACCAAGGCACACTCATGTCCACACACTATATGGATGGATGGATGGATCTTAAACTATTATTTTAAATTAAAATATATAATGGAGAAAACTTAAAAACAAGTAAAAAGAAGAAACACCAAATTCATCCATATGTCAAAAAAATTTTAAAGAATGTTTTCGTATTTAACTAGACAAACACAAATATTACAAGTATCTTAAAAATTCTGAAAAACAAAATGCAAATGTCCTAAAACTCTGAGTTCACCTAGGTTACCTGCTAATAACATACAGAAATAAGCTTGGAAACGAACATAAAGTCTAAGATTTTGCTAATTCACCAGCTCAGTAAACAATCTCACTAAAAATGAGTGTTAGAAGAGTTTGAAAGGAACAAAAGGACCAAAAGGTAAACAGCTAATTAGTCCACTGTGGTTTACTGCCCCCTAGCTGCTGTGGCAGGAGAAATCACAAACAAAAAATGGCTGCCAAGAACTATCAAGAATTTGGCAGGCAAATTTAGAACCTTTAAAACAGACCCACAACTATACACTAAAGTTTGTTTTACATCTTCCTTTAAAAAGTAAGGATATAAACTAACAAAACATTTCAAGAATGCCTAAAGTTTTTCAACCACGAATTGACAAAATACACAGTAGTTTAGATAATAAAAGATGGTTATAAGAAATCAAGTCAGAAAGAATTAAGTCTTAACTAAAGATGGAAATTAGTCAAGCATGGTGGCACAAGCCTGACATCAGCACTCGGAGTCTACAGTAGGAGCATCATGAGCTGTATGTAGGCCTGGCAGCATAGGAAGACCCATGGCTCAAAAAGAAGCAAAATAAAAATTGGGGTTTGTCTTGATTTAGAAAAATTCTGTAGGATGCTAAATAGCTACTGTTGGATAAAGGAATGAAAACTTTTACTAGAAACTCAAAACCTACTGACAAAACTTTCTCCCGTTATTTGGAGGGGGGAAAAAAAAGCTGTTTAGAACATCTTACACGAATTCAAAGTTTCCAAATGTCAGATGCAAACTGAAGTTAGAAGCCAGTCAACCCTGGAGCCAGCACTGGCGGCTCCAGTGATAGCCGGGGCAGTACTGAGGCACTTCATGTTGAGTTCATTCTCAAGATCACTATCAAAGCTCACCTAGTTATTTTCTCCAACAAGGGTCACCTTAAATTTCTGTGTTACTTTCAACTTTCTGACAAAGAATTCAGTTGGCAATGAACCCCAATAGCAGAAGAGTATAAGAAAAAAATTCTGTTCTTGTCACTGGTTTTATTAATTAAACAGTGGGTCACAGTCTTGTTTCCACACCAACACAACCCCTGGGCACACAATACTTTCCTTTTAACAACAGTGGTTTCAGTGGCCAGACATGGTGACATACACCTGTAATCACAGCACCCAAGAGGCTGAGGCAGAGGGCTGCCTCAACTTTGAGGCTACATGGTAAGACCTCTCTTGAAAAAAAATAGTAATTTTACAAGGTTCTAATTCTCAGCATGACAGGGGGAAAGACAAGAGAATGCAAGGGAAAAAAAATAGGGGCAGAAGGAAGAGGGGAGAAGGGTGAATGAGGGTGTTCTTGGTAAGGGGCTGGATAGATGGCTCAGTGGTTAAGAGCACTAGCTTCTCTTTCAGAAGACCCAGTTCGGTTCCCAGTACCCACATAGTAGCTAACAACAGTTCGAAACTACAGTTCCAGGGGATCCAAAGCCCTCTTCTGACCTCCACAGGCATTACATAACATGGGTACACTTACATACATGCAAGCAATACACTCAATATACATACAATAAAAATAATAAATAAAATATCTTTTAAAATTATGATGCAAATAACTCTTAAAAGAAAGCAAAACCCTTACCCTGCAGTTCGTGATGTATTACACCCACTAGGTTGGGTTCATCTCCCCACCAGAATATCCATAACTCTTTGCAATCTGGCTTGACATCACGACGCCATACACACAGCAGGTTGGCTTGCAGACAGCGGATGAAACTTAACAGGATTGGATCATCTTGGGCTGGGGCTGAAATTATGGGTCCACAGTCCCCGTGTCCTCCAAAATTGTACCTACGCCATTTGATTCCTGTGAGTTCAGCCTAGAAAAAACACAGAAATATTACTATAGGTTTGGGGGGGGGGTTGTTTTGTTTTGTTTACAGACCACTAAAAGCAAGTTTCCACAGAGAAAAGCAAAACTTCCAAAATTTGTACTTACACTAAACTTCTTATCATAAGATTTCTCCCAAAGGGGCTAGAAAGATGCTCCTGTAGAGGACCCAGGTTCAATTCCCAGCACCCACATGGTACCTAGCAACCATCCATAACTCCAGTTCCAGAGGATCCAATGCCCTCTTCTGACCTCCTCAAGTGACACAGATGCACTTACACACATGCAGGCAATACACTCATACACATACAATAAAAATAATAAAATATATTTTTTTAAAAAAATATTTCTCCCAATGAAGAATGTATTTATTTCATCAACCCTTCATGGCTTAGGGGAAAGGGATATAGATTTAACTTCTATCAAAATTTCTAAATAGCTCTTTATATTAAGTGCCAAAATAAAAGAAGTTGGAAATCATTACTGTTGACACACTTTTATTTAGCTAAACATTTATGATCACGTACTTGTAACTATTTTCTATTATTACTCCTTATTTAACTCACAAATTATATTTATTTTAAAATCAAGTAAGATTTTAAAGTAAGTATTTACAAGTTGACTGTCACTAATACAAAATACTGAAAGGTAGAATATTTCAAAATCCATACTTGGAAGCATTTCTGACTTCACGTATTTACATTAAGGATGAAAAGCCAGTAGGGGTATGTAAATAGCCTCAAATTTGAAAAAATATAATCTGAAACACTCTGGATTTCCAACCTGTAAAGGACATTCTTTCAAAGAATTTTCCCAATTTCTTGCCATTCCAAAGCTAGTTTAATAACAGTGTTAATCAGGGGAGCATTTAGTATGCAGTATCACAGTGCCTCACCATGAATGCCAAAAGACTCTTTAGGAAGAAGTTGTTAACAAAACTGATGCAGTTATCAGCAATTTATTCATGTTACTTAACATGCAGCACACAGGAGTCGAGCTTCCTTAGCAAGTCCCTAATGTAGTTAGGGCTTTTGTTTTTAAACACATTTTAGACACAAGAACTTTAAATAAGCACAGAATAGAAGCCGTTCCATTACTTACATTTATATTTACGATTTCTTAAAGCTAAAGTTTGAGGGACTAAACTTCAAAGATATTTCAGAACAAATGAAAGCAGAATTTATTTGAGCAGCTAGAAACTCTAACTACATATTGGACACTAAGATACAGCTGACTCGAAGTAGCATCTGTATCTAACAGCCTATACGTCTTGCTGTCCCAGCCTACTCATTCACCACCCTCCCCCCAAGCCAATCATTTTCATGGACAAATTAGTTCTTAAAAGAGAAGTATCACAGGGTGAGAAAACAAGCATTTCTTTTGCCAACATAACTGAAACTCATTTAAGGTGTTAAAACAGTCAATCACCGTAATGGTCACATTTAAGGGGGAAAAAAAATCACATTTCTTTAACCAAAAAAATCAGTTTAACTTCAAAAGAAAGGTTACAAAAACAATAACCAAATACTGCCTGAAACTCAGTAATACACCTGTTATCCTATGACAAATATACATCTAATCTTCTTTAAAATTTTTTAAAAACATTTCTTTTGCCGGGCATGGTGGCATATGCCTTTAATCCCAGTACTTGGGAGGCAGAGGCAGGTGGATCTCTGTGAGTTCAAGACCAGCCTGGTCTACACAGTGAGTTCCAGGCCAGTCTGGTCTACGTAGTGAGTTCCAGGCCAGCTGGAGCTATAGGGAGATCCTGTTGCAAAAAAAAAAAAAAAAAAAAAAAAATGCCAACAACAAAAAACCCACATTTATTTTGGGGAGGGAGAGAGGGAGAGGGAGAAGGAGAGAGAGAGGGAGAGAGAGAGAGAGATAGTTAGTTGGCCCACATGTCACAACACATATGTGGAAGTCAAAGGACAACTGTGGGAGTTGGTTCTTTGTTTCTTTTAATAAAAGTAATACCTATGTTTTTAATCAGAAATAACATTAATTTAATGTTAAAGAAGGAAACTAAATAAAGATGAAAAAGAGTAGTTCAAATCAGAAAAGCTAAGAATATTTCAGCCAAGAATATTGTTGTATACCTGAGGATCATGGCAGAGGAGGGAAGAGAAAGAAGAAAATAAAAATACAACAATGAATATGAATCACTATAACAACGTTAGCTATATTTCAAGGATTAGGAAATTAAGACACATCAGTTTAAGCAATGGATGCGTCAGTCCAAAGAAAATCTACACACAGCAATTTATTCAGTACAACACCAAATCAATGCCTCTGTGCTCTCAGTGGCAAAGGGAAGCCGCTGCCACCTGTTCTGTGTTCTTTATAGAGTTGTTCAAGCAAGCAATACGCTATAAATGCAAGGGGCAGAAAAGCAAGGCTACGAACATAGCCACTTTCTAACTAATTCAGCCAAAAGAACTGAAAAGCATCCAATTATTTTAAAACAATTTAGCTCCTTTACTTTAAAGCTAAAATTAAGTACTGTACCAGTCTTTATTGAAAAGCATAGCAATGAAGCATCACTCACACCTAACAGATGACTAAGTATAAAGTAGATATTCAAAGACTTAGCTTTAAATCTTGAATTAATTTTTGATAAAAGGAAAAGAACTCAATGTTACTGAAATGCTTTGTCCAAGAAAAACATTCCCATCATAGACTCTTTGTTTCCTAGCCGCCATGAAGCTGCCAGCTCTTCCATTAAACCCTCTCCATGGTGTTTGCCTCATCTCAGGCCCAAAACAATGGAGCAAAATGACCATGGAGGAAACCTCAGAAACTAAGCCAAAATAAATCTCTTTCCTTTGGGGAGGGAGGTAATCCCATTCCAGACCAATTAGATTAAAATGCCTTCATATACCATGATCATGTTTACAGTTGAAAATCAAGGCTGGATGTGGTGCCACACACCTGTAATCCCAACACAGGAGAGACTTAGGCAAGAGGATCATGAGTTTGAGGCCAGTCTGGACCACACAGCAAGACTGTCAGCAACAGTGTCAAAAAGAAAAAAGCTGGGACTGGAGAGAAGAGTCAGCTGTTAAGAGCTCTTGCAGAACACCCAGGGTTGATTCCCAGCACCCACACGGCAGTTAATAATCATCCCTAACTCCAATTCTAGGGAAATTCAATGACCTCTTCTGACCTCAGCAGGCACTGCATGACACATGTGCACTTACACACATGCAAGGCAATACACTCACACACATAAAATAAAAATAAAATAATTTTTTTTGGTGGGGGGGTTTGAGACAGGGTCTCCCTATAGCCCCAGCTGTCCTGGAACTATGTAGACCAAGCTGGCCTTGAACTCACAGAGATCCGCCTGCCTCTGCCTCCCAAGTGCTGGGATTAAATAAAATAATTTTTAAAAAAAGAAAAAAATCAACAATTCCAAGTCCTACTTACTCTATTTTTTTTCACATTTCTTATTTATTATTTATTGCGAGGGTGTGAAATCAGAGGACAACCTAGAGAGTCAGCTCAATAACTCCACCACGTGGGTCCTGGAGATCAAACTCAGGTTGTCAGACGCAGTGACTCAAAGGCAGGAGCCTTTATCCACTGAATCATCTCACCAACCCTGTTTTTCCCTATTTTTTCTTTTTGGTGTTTTTGACACAGGGTTGCCCTGTGGCTCCAGCTGGCCTAGAACTCGCTACGTAGACCAGGCTGGCCTCGAACTCACAGAGATTTACCTGCCTCTGCCTCCCAAGTGCTGGGATTAAACGCGTGTACCACCACATCCAGCTGTTTTTCCCTATTTCTGACAAATGGATAACTCTAAGACACAAATTTTTTATCTAATAATTTCAAATTTTTGAATCAGCACTTGGTCTGGTGGCACAGTAGGGGGTAGAGGCAGGAAGACTCAAGGTCAAGGCCTCAGCTTAATGAGACCCTATCTCAAAATAAGAAAGTGGGGGGGAAAGTAAAAGTAAAAAAGGAGGGCTGGGTATAGCCCAGTGGAAGAGCATTTGTTTAGCATGTGTGGCCTGAGGTTCACTCCCCCACCATCCCAAAAGAATTTTTTTGACATAAACCTTTAAAATATTTCTAGTTTCAAAGTATCCCAAATACACCTTTATGTCAAAAGGAGAAACAAATGCATAATTATCTGTGAACTTTAAAAATACAAAATCAGAAGCTGAAGAAATGACTCAGCAGTAAGGAGCACTGGCTGCTCTTGCAGAGGACCCAGGTTTGGTTCCCAGCATCCACACGGCAGCATTAACAACCATTCCAGTTCCAGGGGATATGACACCCTCTTCTGACCTCTGTGGGCATTCTACAACACGGGTGCACTTACGCAGATGCAGGTAATACACCCAATACACATAAAAGTAAGATGAAAATAAAATACTTTTTAAAAAAAAACTCTCCTATAACCATAAAATTGGCTAATAATGGGTTCCAAATATAACTGGATTTAACCATAACTGAATTTTTGACATAAATCTTTCCATTCTGCCACACTGCTTCATAGGGCTAATACTAAAAATTAGCCCTGCAGAGTTACGAACCAACAAAGAAACCGTCATCAACTCAATTTAGCAATGACTAGAGCTCATGCCATACTTTCTAATTTAAGAAAGTTCATGAATCTTTCTTGGGTCCTCTTGGAGTATTAAGAAAATGAGTTATGAGTGGCCATGCACCACCCCAACATTCAGGAGACAGGTAACTGCATGTTACAGGCTTCTACATGTTGTCACTTAAGACAGTATCCACACAAACTAATTCTTGAGGATATATATTGGGAGTAAAAAAAAAAAAAAAAAAAGCAAGAAAATATCTACTCTAATACCAAAGGGGATTGAGTGAAATTTGCTCAGCTGGCAATGTGCTATACAGGCAGTACAGGTTTTCTGAAAATCGAACTGAAGGGGCAGAGACTGCCAAAATAACGAGAAGGCCCTACAGTCAGTTCAAAAGAGTTCTAATTAAATAGATTACAACAGAATCAAA